ATAATTTAAGATAAGTCCTTGATAAAGATCTGATAGTAGTTGGCAAATTCCATAAAATATTTGACATCACATATTATTTTTGAGATCTTTCAATCTATTATAGTTTGAACTTTTTTAGGATTCATCATAAGTCTATCATTTGAAATGATGTAACTTAAAAAATCAACTTCAGTAGTATAAAATATATACTTTTCTATCTTAGCATAGAATCCCACATCTCTTAATTTTTGTAACACATGACGAATATAAAGTTCATGTTCTTTTGTATTCTCAGAATAGATCAAGATATCATCTAGATAAAAAACAACAAAATTGTCTAGAACTCTCAAAAAACATCATTCATAAGATGTTAAAAAGCTATGGATGCATTTGTAAGTCCAAAAGGCATGACATTATATTCAAAATATCCATACCTAGTTTGAAATGTAATCTTCTATTTATCTCTTTCTTTAATGTATATCAGATTGTATGCTCCTCGTAGATCTATTTTTGTATAGATCTTAGCTTGATTCACCTGATCAAGAAGTCCAAATATTATAGGTAGTAGGTACTTGTTTTTAATGGTGATCTTATTGAGTTCTCGATTTTCAACGTACATCCACAATGATCTATCTTTTTTTCTTTACAAATAGAATTGGGGTTCATGTTGGAAATTTGAAATGGTGTATGAAGTTCTTAACTAGTTTTTCTTCAATATACTCCTTGAGTTCACTCAATTCATTTTGTGATAAATTATAGATTGATCCAAATGGCAGTTGTGCTCATTTTTGAAGGTTGATTGAACAGTTATAGGACTGATGTTCTAAAAGATATCTACATTCTTTTTTTTAAATACATCTTAAAATTCTTGATATTAGCTTGAAATGCCACTTGAAGTCTTTATACTATTAGAAATGTGTGGCATAAATGATAGAAGGTGATCCTTTTTTTGTAGCATGTAATAAAGCTCTTGCTTCTACAAATATAGGTTTAATTGTATTAAACTTATGATATTTTACTTGATGAACTACACTCTTAGTTATATATTTAGAAAAGTCGAGAGTATAAGAAATCTAATGTATTTGAGGGTTATATTTTTTTAACCACGATAAGCCTAAAATGATTAGATTAGAAAAAGATTTAATGATATTAAATATCACAAAGCTATTATAATCAATGATTATTACTTCTATATGAAGGATTATGTGAGTAACATTTCTAGAAGACAACGGAGGACCATCTATGACTTCTACATGAACAAGTTTAGTTTTCTTCACTTAAGATATGCTAAGTCTTTTAGTAAATTCTTCATCTAAAAAACAAGTTGAGGCTCTTAAATCTAAAAAGATAGAGGCTTTGTAATGTTTAGGTCCTTAAATAATATTCAATGTAAAATAAAGAGAAGGTTCTAGGGAGAGAATAGGACCTTCAGTAGGTATTGTATAAGGTTCTAATTGTAAAATCTCTATTATAATTGGATAAATTTTGTTTTTGATATAATATCTTCTTTGATATTTGTACTCCTTATTTTATAATTGTGTTGCTTCTTTGGCCAATGTTGAGTAGTGTGCTTAGGTTCTCCATGATATAAGTACAATCCTTCTTGACGACAATGAGTCTTTTTTTGCTCAGTGAGTAATTTGAAACATATGGCATCAATTTGCATATCTTCTACTTCCAAATATATGTGTTGAAGAGGCATTGGTATTGCCATTGAATTATAAGAATGTTGAGGCTCACTTGTCCGATTTTCAAATCAAAATTTGAAAAGTTGATTGTCACACTTCACAGCAAAGTCAATGCTTGACTCAATATTTGAAGACCAAGTATGTTGAAGATCAATTTCTTTACCTTACATTGTAATCTATTGAAAAATTGGCTAATAAATGTAGCATCATTCTACTTGATATCACTTGCAAGTTGTTAGAATTATGAAGTATATAGTATTACAAATCAATTGTCTTGTTACAAAATATACATCTTATTGGTTGCAACACAAGTTGCACCATGTTTTCCATATATGGATCAAAACTTTGTAAAAAAAACCTCCAAATTATCTAGTATTGGATATTGTTGTTCAAAAAAAGATGAAAATCATGATAATATTGAACTTGAAAGAAGTGTATTAATGAATCTAACTTAAAATCATGGAATTGAATAGCTTTAGGATTGAAGTTCAATCACAAGTTGTATTTGATTGATAAATCCTTGAAACTTAGATCTTGTGCCATCAAACTTCTCATACAAGATAACTCTTGATTCTCCAGTACCGAAAGGATGTTCTATTGTAAAAAAATAACAAAATATGTATATTAAATGAAAACTCGAATTGCTATTGTTAAAAGACAAGGAAACTAGAGACTCTTGAATCTAGACTAGAAGCAAGAAAGTAGTTGATAAGAATAAAGAGAGCTTCACTCTTGCCTTTATATATATTATCTAACTAAGAGATATGTGGCAAAGTTTTATAGGACCTCTAATATAATTTGACTTTGCCAAACACATACATTAGCTTGTATGATAAGTTTTTTATGTGTGTGCTACATAGTTAGCTTGTTCTTCAAGCTACCAACATGTGTGGCACATGACTAACTTGTTGATGATATTTCTAACCTAAAAAGTCAATTATGAACACCTATAAAGTCAAAGCAGCATCTATAAAGCTTTTGTAAAAGATATTATGGAATTAATATATTTTTATCTATTTTTATCCAAATATATAAGTAATTATTAGATTATATATATATATATATATATATATATATATATATGTGTGTGTGACAATAGGATCCATGGCAAGGCAAAGAAGAAAGAGAGGGGAATCAAAATCTACACCAAGGTAACGAAAAGAGATTAGAGATTATAATCTGCTTAAGAAAAAAGAAGAAATAAAGGACTTACATCGAGGCATGAAAAAAAGAATTTGAATGAACTAATCAAAAGTCTTAGATGTATGTATAGACATAATAGATGTGTGTATAGCAACTTGAAGTATGCTTGTAGCTTGAGCCTTTTTTTTAAAAGCTTTTGTGAATATCTTTTTATGTACTATACATATATTAAAAAATAAGTTTGTATTATAATTTAACAAATACTTTTTGTTCATTTTAAATATTATTATAATTTTAATTTTTGCTATATTAAAGCTTTATTTATCTTAAGATTAAAACATCAATCTTTTTTGAATTATTAATTTTATATTTTATATGTTTTTTTAAATTAAGGTTATTAATTTTAACAGTTTCTAAAAATTAGTTTATATTATTTTAATTTAGGATAAATATTTAAATTTTAAAAATAATCTAATATGATTTATAGTGTTAGTTAAAAGATAAATATTTTATCGCATCGCATCCCATCCCATCCCATCCCCATTGTTTTTATCAGTCTCATTTCCAGCGCAGCATGCTGTGTGAGAGCTACTTTGGCGCTTCTGTTTGGCATACAAAATAGAAAACTTCAGATCTTTATCTACATATGCGCAGACACACAAACTCATTCACATTTATGTTTATATTCTTATATGTGTATATATAGAAAGCCAAGAGAGGATGATGTGACCAGTTTTGTGTGCAGAGTTTATGTAATGTGTTTTCTTCTGAGTTTGTTGTCGAGGATCATCAATTAAATGGCAACTTGTTATCAGTTCATTATCAATGAGCTTCTTTTCTAGGCGAGCCACTATTCACTGATTTTGACTTAGTCCAGCTTCCTTTCTTGCTTTCTTTTGATTTTAGTGTTATTTTTTGTGGTTGGGTTATTGCATTTTACTGTAGACCTATATTTGTCAGCTACAAACTTAGTATTGTGAATTAGATAGTGAGTTGGAAGTGGCTGGACGTGTATTTGCAATAAGTTACTGACAACCCTACTGGAGTGAAGACGAAGGAGGTGAAGGCGGCCTTAATTGAGCTGAAGGGAGAGAAGGTGGGAGGTGTGGAACCTAAACACGCAACTAGTTGACAAGCAGTACTGGGCACAGTGACCGTTGTGCCCAACCAGATAAACAGTTGTGTAGCATATTCGGAGCCGGCGGTGAACAGTTTCTGGGCGGTGATGGAATGTGGTCAGGTCACCTGCATTGAGGAATCATCCCCCTTCTCGTGCATGAGCATCGTTGAAATCTGCAGGCTGGTGAGCCGGCAGCTCTCGCCACTTTGCAGTACAAAGAGTCAAGGTTGCACTCTAGATTCCGGTCGGAAACCCTCTCTGGTTGTGGACCATGAAGCCCCACCTTGGGGATGGTTCCAGACTCCCAAGGCCATAAGCTCGTGACATAACAGAAAGCAAACACTGTGTTGAAAGCACTGGAGCAGTGTTGTCCTCGAACTGTGGCGAAAAAGTCTTTAGGGTTAGGGTTAGGAAAAATGAACAATGAAACATATGGGAAAAAAAAAAGTTTGGTAAGTGTATGCTTTACCTTTAAAAAAAAATTGCAAATTAGGTATTATTGTTAAAATTAGTGTTGTTTTTTTCAGTATTGTATCAATTAGAGGTGACTCTTTTTTATAATAACATATTTGTGGGAATATTAATGAAGAAATGGTTGCTTGTCTTAGTTTAAATTTTATGATGCAAATTTCTTCATTTGGAATTTGTTTACATGAACAAAATGTACCCTAAAGTTAACTCTCTTCCTCAAAGTTGCAAAAAAAGTTTTATTTTTTATTTTTTATCACAAGTACAACATTCAGTTGCATGAGTCACTTGGGGGTTAAGCTCCATGAAGTCTGGGCAACCGCAAAGCAGAAAGAGTTAAGCAACGTCTTGTCAGAATATCTAAACTGAACATAGAAGCATTAGCTTTCAAGATGCGAGGGATATCTCGAAACAGTCACCACAAGCGGCCGAGAAGCACAGGACACAAGCATGGATTCTCTCATTTCTAAACCTTAGTTCAACTACAGTGAAGCTCATTCAAGCTCTCATTGAAGTCTTTACACAGTACTCAGGACAGCTACAGTGGTGTACTGATGAGACCCAGAAGAACAGTTCAACCAAAAATCAGTGGACAAAGAAGAAAAAGACGAAGTGAAGCAGCCTTCCAGAAGAGTGCGCACAGTTTTATAAAGAAAGAAGTCTACACGATACAAAGTGGCCAAGCAAGTAGAAAGGCTCATACTAGAAGCGGGGCGAGTGCGCAAACCCCTGACCCTGAGGGGGGGAGAGTATTATTAAGTCTTAACAGCACCAATGGATGTCGTGACGAAGACAAAGAATGACCCTTACATGACACTAAGAAAAACAACCTGTTTCAACTACAGTGGGTTTGGCTACCTTTGAAACCCAGGGATCCGATGAGTTATGGGTACTAAAAAACACGAGTCCTGGGGTGAGTGGAGGGGCGAGAATGCGGAGCCCTGGTCGCACCGGGGCAGGACCAGAGAGCGAGGCCATCAATGCCATCGTCCCCGACAGTGCGAGTTGCCATTGCAACCTCATCGCCTTATTTGTTTGCCGTTTTTTTACGTTTATATTTTTTCGTTTTCTTTTTCATTCCAGTTGAGTACACAGCACACGCGGGACTTTCACACGCGGTACTTCGAGTATCGCTCTCTTTTGCCAGATGTAACATCACTGTGCATTAGCACCGTGCATATCCCACAACTGCTCTTTGCCATCATTCTCCTTGTTCGTTAGATAAGTAATCTATGGCACCGATGGTCTATTTGGTGCAGTTTCTCATTCCGAAGGACAAGAGAAAAATTGTCGTCGTCGTCACTCCTGGAGGCTGCCTGGGATTAGCTTTAAACGTGGTTCACATGGATGTGGTCCTCGCAAAAGACAATACTTGCACGCAGCAAAACTTGCAGCGCAAGTTCCAAACTACGCAGCTTCTTCACAAGAGTCAAGAGAATTCCTCATCATCGTCATTATCATGCGGAGAGGTCACCTACTGCGAGCTGGTGGGATCGTCGCCACTGTCGCCTTGTTGATGCCCCGACCCACCCATAGACTGATGGTCAGAGGTCACGTTGCGGCTATAGGCATTCAAAGCGGCCAACATCCCTAAGTGTCCCTCGCTGCCAAGGCCTAATCCAGTGCCCGGCATCTGCTGACCCCCTTGCTGCAACAACATAGACCCAAGCGGCATGTGGTGACCCATGTGACTGCCCTGAAGCTCTGGCCCCATACCCCCCTGGACGTTCATCCGCGGCATTAGTGCAACCCCACTGGGCAGCGCAGTCAATGGCACCATCGCCTGCCCGCTGCTGCTGGAGGTGGGAGCATTGCCTTGGCCACTCCCTCCACTGCCTCCGGGACCCAACTGTATCGACGTCCCCGCGGCTGCCGTCATTCTGTACTGACCTGAGGCGGTTGGAAACGTCCAAATCTGCTGCTCAGATTGCCCCGACATCACCCCTGAAGTTGGTCCGCCCTGCGATGCGCTTACAGGCAGCATCCAAATCGTCCCCGGCATTGCTCCGCTGCTGGGCACGCCTGCCCCGACCGGTGCCACGGCCCACATTGCTGCTGGCATCATGCTTGACGAACCTCCTCCTTGGTGCTGGCCTTGCCCCACCTGCTGCTGCTGCTGCTGCTGCATGGATTGCCTGGCAGTTGCTCGCACGGGCCTCGCCGGCTGATCAGGGTCCTCCTTCATCCGGCTCTGCAATGTTCCTCTCGGTCTCTTTCGCAGCCTGCTGTCTGGGGATTCCATCCCCTCTCCCATCTCCGACGGACCCCCCACCAGGTCCTGGTGCTGGAACCCAGCCATCATGTCATGACTCATCCCTGGATCCCCATGCCCCAGGCTAATCCGTCGACTGGCCTCCATGGCCCGCGTCACTTCCATCACATGCTCCCCTGCACTCGTCACCCACTCACCCCTCTCCCTCTGTGCCTGTTCCTGCTGCATACGACTCTGCATCTCTTCCGCCGTCAGTCCGCCACCCGGACCAGCCAAGCCTAGACTACCATGTATCCCAGCTCTCCCGGCCGCTGCCACTGCCATACTCGAAGAACTTCGTATAGATCCCTGAATCGAGGATGCGATGGCTGGGATAGTTCCAGTTCCCGTCGCAGCAATAATCGACTGCTCGGATTGCTGTAGCAGCCACTCGATCGTCTCACCATCGGATTTGTGACCAAGCTCACGAGTGAGCTGAAAAATTCGTGCTGCGCACGTCGCGGGCATGCGAATGCGACGCCCGCGCCCATCCACTTTGGTGTGCCTGTCTTTTGTCGAGGTTCGCTTGGGTGGCGGTTTTTTGGCCGGTGGGGTGGGCGTCTGCTGCTGCTGTTGCTCTCCCGAGCCTCCTGGCATCGACATGCTACCCATACCGCCCACACCCCCGCTAGATTGCCCCTCATTACCACTGTATTCCTGTCCCATACCTGCCATAGCTAGTGCCGTAGGATCCACCTGCCCTACTCCGCCTCCTACTCCCTGTCCTCCCATCGCCGCCATCGCTGCAGACAGTGGCCCGACATTCAATTCGCTTTCCTGCCGCTGCTATTGCAGCTCCTAAATCGGCGGCTAGTGTCCAACTAGCCTCTGCTTCTGATGTTTCTGCATCAGCTGAGGCGTCAATTCCAACTCTGTGCTATTCCAGAAGCGACGAAAATCTCTCCCTAGATCCACGGATGCAGCGTGCCCGCCTTGGGTCTCACTTTCAAAAACCAGACCCCCTAAACCCACCCCTACCCTCCCACGATTTTCCCGTAAACTCACCATCCTGACAGCCTCTATTTCAACAGTTGAGAAACCAAATCGAAAAATCATAACGTTCTATCATACCTTAATATTTCCTGAACACCTCCCCTGCAATCGTTGCCGCCCATTCGATCACGAGGCCCATGATCCTCGCCTCCTCCCCCTCCTCCTCCTCATCCTCACTCCCCTACCATCACCGTGTTCACCGATCCCCAGCTCCTCTGATCCAACCCAACCCCTACCCTCACTGTTCTCCAAACATTCAAATTTCCCCACTCATCCTTCCACACGTTACCCTCACCCTTCACCCGCACCTCTGCTCATCCTCATTCTCAACCTCACCCTCCTTTCCTCCCACCCCTCGCGTCACAATCTTCTCCCCAGAACACCAGAACCGAAAATAACAAAAACGCAGAAGCGCCATACGCGCACGAACAGCCCCGAGAATCTGTCATCGGTGGATCGCCCGAATCCGACCGCGGTTTCTCTTCATGAGCGCCCCATCTACAGCAGCAGCAAACAAGCAGGCACGACGCACCCTAGATACAGCACATGATCAGGAACTGGTCGCTTTGGGACTACAACCAAGGCTCTCGAGGGGATGCAGCTGAGGAAAAGGCTTCGATAGAACGAGTAAGCAAACAGGAGAAAAAATGAAACTGAGAAGGAGAGTTGGAGAGATGGCGCAACGGGAAAAAAGAACAAAAAGAGAGAGAGGGGGGAGGCAGAGAGGAAGAGGGAAGGGAAGCGGAGAGGAGGGCGTGAAGCCGGTCGGAGAGGGTGAGGCGGAGGGTTGGCTGGCTGGCTGGCTTGCTGGCTTGCTGGCGAGATGAGGGCTCACCCCCCGAAGCACGCAGAGCAAATCTCTCGCGACGCCTCGCTCGCTCGCTCCCGGGCAGTGGCGCCACGGCTCGCGCGCACAACTTTTTCTCCCTCCGCACCCGGGCAGCACGACGCAAAAACGAATCTAATCGGGCAATATACCCACGCGTGCGTCGCCCAAGGTGGCGACGCACGGGGGCACGCGAGCGCGAGCGAGCGAAAGAGACGCCGCGGCGTATGTGAGATACTGCCCACACAGCCCGACTAGCGCCGCGGCTTTCTTCAATCCTTCTTGGAAGCATATTGTTCTGTTCTATTTCTTTCTCTTTTGTTACGTTCCTGCCCGTGCTTTAGTTTTATCCGGGCAAGTCATTATTTTCACCCGATGCAATCACTGCCCCCATGTATCCATGGATGGTTATTCCTTTATTGTTTTGCTACTGAGATCCACCATCCAATGAGTGGCTGGCGTCCTGGCTTTGTTCCCAATACTCCATAAGTGATCCTCCTCCATGTGTCCCCCTCACAAAATTTGAGTGCTGCCATGATGTTGTCTAAAAGACCCTCACCCCACCTCCATCTCTGCTGTTCCCATCGTTCCCATGGATCCGTTCCCCAATCCCAATAATCCCCCCCTTTGTTGTGTTGAGTGGGTGTGTGGGATATGAATTTACATCTTTCTAAGTTTCCATTTCTACTAAAAACTTGTTGTGTTTGGTGTGTGGCTACAGTTCCCATACTGTAGTGAGCCATTAGATGTGGAATATTACTTCTATGCTCGAATAGTGAAATTGTGTACAAAAATCTGAAAAAATCAAATCAAATATGTTTGTGAAGATACACACACACACACACACACACACATATATATATATATATATACTGAACCAAACAAATTGTCATGTGCAATAACACATTTCATCTAAATTAGTTGGTTTTAATTCAGTTTTGTGAGAAACTACACACACATAAAGATTTTGTTGCAAGCTGATTCAATACATGCAAATAACTTTTAATGTTCAAACTATTAATGCATTCCCATATACACGCACAAGTAGGTGTGTATTCATGTATATATGTGTATATATATATATATATATATATATATATAAAGCTTCACATATGAAATTTTGTGACATTAATTCTTTGCACTACATTGAGATTAACCAAACATTCAAGCACTTAACCACACTTTACAAAATATCCCCATTAGTAGAAAAACATTGTTATTTGCAACCAATGCTTTCACATCCTGCATATGTGTGTGTGAATATATATATATATATATATATATATACATACATACATATACATACAATGAACAGGAAACTAATGCTAATATGTCATAAACCAACCCATATTTCAAATTCAAATACAATCTCATCCAAGTCCAAATTTAATTAACATGTTTTTTGAATGAATTCAAAAACATCAAAATTAGCAAGTAGTAAATCCAAGTAACCTAGTTGTTCTACTCTTCAATAGACTGTCTTGCTACAAAAAGATTATTTTTAATTCGAGTTGGCTCTTTGCAGGTTATCAATACCAACACACATACAAATGAATGAACAAATGAATAAATGAATGGGTAGTCGGTATATATATAACTATAACTATATATATATATATATATATATACAAAAATGCAAAAGTGATGAAACCCACTCTATTTCTCTTGAAAGGGGGTCTTTGAGCATTGGTCCCATGGCCACGAAACTTGCTTGACCTTGTCCCTCCGGCTCTTTAGGGTTGCAGGTGGACCTCAACGGTAGTGCCTAGCTGGAGCTTGCCACGTCATCTTCTCTCCTATTGGTCTACACCCTTTCAACTCTCTCCCATCTCGGCCATGTGTCATAGTCAAGTTGACGTGTTTGATGACGTGACGTTTCCTTGCCAGCTCTCCCCCTCTTCCCTTCACACCTAGAATTTGGAGGGGGCTGGAGACGACGCTACAATTAGGGATGATCTGGCTATGGGTTAGGGCTTTTCTTATTGTGATCAAGGCTATTCTTACCATACTCAGGTTGATGTCACCACACCCACAGATGCTCCTTGTTTTCCTAAGGATCTAGGGCTGAGCAAACTTAGAGTCGACAAGTGGTTTAGAGGTATAAATAAAATAAATAAATAAAATATAAATAATGATTCCGAGACAATCCCACAAACAGTTATTAAAATTGAAAATTAGCTTAGATAATCACAGTTGATATTGTTTGATTTTGATTCATTTAATTTTTTTTGTTTTGTTTGTTTGTGTTCTTTTGCATAAGGATGAAAAAGATTAAATGATAAATAATTATATGCCGAGTAAGTAGTGGCTTTGGATTTAATTCTGCATGTCTTAATTATATCAAACTGATGGACTTTTTCTTATTTATATATTGATGAAGTAAGATAAATCAGTCAATGGTAGAAATAGATTTTACTGCTTAGAAAATCATGTTTATAATGTGTATAAATCTTTGTACCAAAAGGCTGTTCAAAAGTATGTATAATCTTATCAATTGTATTGTATATTTAAGAAATATGTTTGGATATATATATATATATATATATATATACAAAAATAAGAAACCAAAAGATCAAGTAGTAAAAATTGAAATAAGATATTAGATTAAAAATAATATTAGATATAAAATTAAAACATTTGAATTAATCCAAATTTTGTATGGACAAGATTGAGATATTTATTGTTTTTTTTTATCTCCATTTATACTATAGCAACTAGGTCCCATGTGCAGTTTTAGAGGAGACTCTACAATATAGAATATGAGAACTTTCTATAAAAATCTCAAAAGTTGCAAAAGATTTTTAAAAGCATTGGCACTTATTGGTGCCAAAAGAAACAAATAATGGGTAGATGTCATGGTTGCATAGTGAATTGACCAAAGCAGCTCCAACATAATCTCCATTCATCTTGCAGGGTGGCTAACAATAGCTAAGCTTGGTGCCACTTGCTCACCCATATTAACTCCTGGGAGCCCTCACTCTCTCTCCGCCCTCTTTTCCATTCCAACAGACTATTATGTCTTGTGGCTAATAATAGTCAAGCTTGGCACCATCTATTTGCCTCACATTGCCTCCACTTAGGGCCCCACTCTAAGCCTTGGTCCTAGCAAGAGAGAGCCATGTCCATAGCAAGTATTTGGAGAAATCTCCCATTTTGCCAAGGCTAATGACTAGGCCACAATGGAGCTTGTTTTGAGACTAGGATAGCTTGGGTGGCTATTGACAACATTCTCTAATGGCTATAGAAACCTCTAAAAAATTCTAAAAGTTTTAAGGAATTTATAGACAACTACTATAAAAATTTGAAATTGTTTTGTTTTGATTTTTTCTTTTTCTAATATTGTACATATTTTTTATTCTTGTGATATCTCAAAAACTAAACATTCACAACTCGTGTGTTTTTAAAAACTTATTAATTTTACATATCATACTTTTAATAATTATAATAAGAGGTCATGCTTCTTATTCTTGATTTTACAATAATATGGCCAATTTTCTAAATATATATCCATGTTTTCATATCCAAGTAATCTTTAAAACCACCACATAGGATAGATCATCTTATAGTATACTTATCAATTAAGTAATCAACGATGTAGCATAAACCAGAATTATCGTATGTTATTTAATATGTATAAATGCTTTGGATCCCAAGCGTATAAAACAAGTCTTTCACTATAACTTCTAGTTTTACATTTTGATATATCAAATTTTAAATTTTATTTTAAATGATTTACTACTATATTATATAGTTTAAAGTATGAAAGAATTAAAAAAATTGAGAAAAGTCGGATAACATACAAGACAATACATGAAGCTTGATCTGTCATGGTTACTTCCAAAAAACACATTTCATTGACAATATCTTGCAATGCAAAACACCATCCATAATTAAGTTAAAGAGGTTTTCATTTACAAATGTTAAGTGATGTTGCCTGAAAAAACCTCGATTATTCAAAGAGATCAGTGATCAAGTATCTACAGGGGCTTTCACATAATATCTTTTTAGCAATATTTTAGTGTATAAATGAATACAACTCTTATTATTGAAATTTAAGCTTATCATTTAAACTTCTGACATCTAAGAAATAAAATGAAATAAAATGTTTAATAAGACATAAATGGCAAATCCACCTATCGATACTTTTCAAGGAAATTGTAGAATTTTGTCAATTAAGGTTTTAAAATATATTTTTAAAGAAATTTATCAAGTACACTTAAATTTCAATTCTTCATATAAGATTGTTTTGGAAAATTATGAAAATATATCCACATGTACATGCATATGTAATTATTTATTTCATAAAATATAACTCATGTACAACAAATTAAAAAATAGATAATTTTTAATAATCTCACGAAATATAAAAATAAATGAAATTGAACAAAAATTACCTTTTTAAGTTCATGTAAAAGATACATGTTTAAAGTATTCCGAATCTCCACTACAACTAAGCATACAAATATTATAGTAAATTATAATCTACATATCTTATAAATACTTTATAAACTTAAACATAATAATATGATTTTTAAAAATTAAACTAGTATGAAATATTAAATATTATATTTTCGTATTCAACTTAAATAGGATATGTAAGATTAAGTTTTATCAAACGTTTTGAAGCTTGAGGATTTTTAGAACTTTAAGAACAATAGTAATTGTGAAATTTAAAATCATACAACTTACAATATTTGGATGTTTAAAAACAACCTTTTGATTATTAATAATAGAATAACTCATTTTTTTAGACAATTTTATAATTATTTGTAGTATTTAAAAATTAAATACACTCATACCCAAATATTTTTGTGTTTAATAGTACCAAGAATGCGTAAAGTGTTTTTATTTTACTATTTAGAGAAATTGGTATTTAAAAAACAATGTTTACAGTTTGATACTATTTATGAAGAATGGTAAAACAGAATGTTGTATTGCAGGATTAATGTATGTGCTTCATATCAATACTAAGCAGTACTTGCACATCCTTTCTCTTG